CCACGTGTACTAAGCAACCCAATGAGACTGCCGATGGTAATAGCTGTTGCATGCATGTACATATAGAAAAGAATATGTACAGGACAATAACAACAGCAACGAGATAAAAATAGTGAAGCGATGAAAACTCAATTTAGTTTATTACTTACATTGAATACCACTGATACGACTAACGGACCAAATGCGGCCAAAAAATGTAAAACTTGCATGCATACTTTACATTCGGCATTAATTTCATTAGTTGGTACCATAACCTGACAACAGAAATTTAATCGCCTCAAATTCATACATGCATATATACATATATTGGAATGGACTTTTTAAATGAATTTTAAAAATTTTGAACCCTCTAAACTCCTATATGATACACTCATTGGTGATCACTTCTTACAAATTAGAGTTCTATGATTTAATTATTTTCTAAGTTATAGCACTTTATGTATTTTTAATACAAAAAGTAATAAATTAGCAACGGCTAATTTCACCTACCAACTTCTAAAGGATCCCAAGCGAATACACAAACACCAAAAATAAATTTTTTCAAAATTTTACAAACAACCGTTAAGCGCCGAAGCAAAGCGGAGCAAAATATTGAGCAATTCTGATCTTTTTACCCTTGGAAGAAGACCTAAGCCTTTTTTTAATATATCCTTTGCTTCTTCACTTTGTTCTTAACGTATGAATTGTCAAGTAAAGCGATGAAAGTTGTACGTGAATGGATCATTAAGTTTAGTAGATATGCTGCAAGCTTAGCACTGCAGCACAGGCTGAGACTAATTGTTTTGAGATTTTCATTGCTAATTCACTGTTTATACCAGCTCATAATAAAATATGTACGACATTACAGTAGCCTTTGACATTTTTTTTCGATGATATTATATTTGAGTTGTGCTATTATATAATATGTGATGTGTCCCAAATGGCACCAATACCTTTGCTAAGGCTTAATCTACACCTCCATTTATGGTATACTCGGCGAGTAATTCTAAGCCGACTGCGAAAGGCTAAAGATTAATACACTCGAAGATTTTCTTTAATCTCCCGTATTCTAGAAAAAACTTAATGATGTTGGTACGAGGCTGTGATTTCAGACCCAGCGAATCCTTCAATAAAGACTGTCAAGCTCCATTAATATTCTATAAGGTCTAAACACCCATTCCTACGTCCTTTGTAAAAACTTTAATCGTTAACAAAAGTGCAAGTACCTGCATATTTTCAGAATTAAATTTGCATATACCTATATACACTTGAACAGGTCGACTTTTTTCTATCAATTCGTGTATGTGGTAAATTTTCAACAGATCATTTTGAACGACTGGCTCGAAATCGTAGAAAATTTTTGGCGTCATGTTAGTGAACCCGCTCTAATATTTACATATATTTGGTATGTATTCGATCTTCAGCCTCTTATCGTTCTCTCATTTTGTTGAAATGATAGAGTCGAAAAAACCAATTGCTCGAAGTCACCGGTGTTTATGGCGTTGGCTGTGACAATATTGAATGGTGTGTTTTATAGATCTGGGTTCAGACTAAAATTAATGAACGTATTAACACCATACGTATAGTTAGATCCAGTTACTATGCGCCAACGACAGTGCAAATAGTAATTGCGAAAATAAAAGGACCCGTTACGATTCGCAACAGCAGTACTGCAGTGAAAATCATTATACGCGTGCCTTAAAGGATTTTTCAAACCCATTCAGCATATTATCTTCTATTCGGGCTTACTTCTTCTTCGTCTACGCTTTTAAAGAAAAAGAAGAAGAATTATGCAGTTCATATCATAAAAGAAAAACATAATAAAATTATACCCGAAAATTAGCAAAAATTAATTTCAAAGCGAATAGCAAATTCATATCTAGCTTTTACTGAAAACTAATTATGAAACCATGAATTGTTTGAACTTGTATTATTTGTGGCAACTAAGTAATATTTGTAGCAATTTACATGTTTTGCAAATATTAGCCGGGAACTGCTGATATTGCGGTAAATAGAATACTAAACTACCAAGAAAGTTTTACTCAAAATACGAATGCCAGTAAAATTAGCACATTGACTCCGTTACCCAACGACCAACTCGTCGACGACAGTGAGAATTTCGAAAAAATGCAAAATGCTCCGAAAGGCAAATATTTATATTACTCAACATGCGACTGAGTAACTGGCGGTGGTAGTCAGTGACGTCCAATTTCATGGAGGAGATGTGAATGTTTGCACATTCAAAATGAAGACAAGAAAGCAAACAAAAATGCTAAATTACAGTTTCGCGCGCCAATATCCGCAGTTTTCGAGATAACACTAAAGTTTGTACTACATGTGATTACACACATGTATATACACTTTACAGATGTATGTGCATATTGTTATTGTATATTAATAAAACTGTGTCATACCAACCCTGACTTACCACTCTCTGAACGCACGCGAGCTTTAGCTTAAGGGGGGAGCCTGCTTTAGAAACTTCAAAAATTCTATTTTTTTTGCTTAAATCTCTTTAAAAAATATCTAAGAATATGTCCCCAAAGTTAGATAGGTTATTATAGAAGGGAAATAGTGACCGAGCGTCTAGCAGATATATGGGCAGGAAGCAAAAACTTTGACGCGCGATTTCTCGCAGAATAGAAAAAATATAATCGTCGTTTTATCTTTGGCATTAATTTATCTTCTAACTTCTTCTTTCTAACATAAAGTAAAATTTTTTTGGTCAAAAACCATTTATTTTCAAATTTGAAATTTTTTTTTAATTTTACACTTTTTTTGGAATTTTCTTAGTTTAACTAGAAGATAAATTATTAATAAAATATGGATCTCTTTGAATTTTTTGTTTCCGATAGAAACTGCGACTTGCCTTCTGCCCACCGTCCGACAAATGCACATGCGAGATGCATCACGCAGTTGCTGCCCAAAGGCAGACTATCAAAGATTTCGTATCAAAAGAATTTGTGAATGATGTTTAAATATATAGGTATAAACTCTAGAAATTTCCCTTTATCAATTATTTCTTTCCCTCCCAAACAAATCCTCAAACAATCGATTTTTTGAAGCCTCTAAAGCAGGCTCCCCTTTTAAGTCCGGGACCTTCCTTTTTATCGATCACTGTAGTCAAAACGTAAATATTGATGAAGTTCGAAAGCTAGAATCATTCAACTAACTGTTAATGAGAGCTTGCACTCACTGCTAGAAAAAAAATACAAAAAAGTTCTTAAACAATTCAAGACCTGTAACTGAAAATAACGCGAATTTTTACATATAAAATTTCACGGGTTTGGGTAGTCCAATTGTCGTTTTTTTTATTATAATGATATACATACATGGCTCTGAAGTACGATACGTACAATACGATAGCAGCCGCTACGGTGAGACCTGTTTTCATAAGCTTGGTGATTTTTGTTTACTAAAATCTCACACTTCGGTTCTTGTAAGAGAATTCTTGACCAAAAACAGTACTGTAATAATGCCCCAAATTTTAAAACAACGTGGTGTTCGCCATAGCGTCGTGTGACCTATTTCTAAAAATAAATTCATGATAATAACTAAGTAACTGTATGGTTATACCAAATATAGAGTTTGAAAAGTGTGGGGATGTTTGGAATAAGCTCTGACATAAGTGCATAATATCGATTGAGGACTATTTTGAAGGCTACAATATTAATGTAGACGAATGAATAAACTTATATTTCAAAACACGAATATTACCGTTATTTTTTGAACATACCTACAAATTTATCATCAGTCCACATCTCACATAGTAATTTGTTAGATTTCCCTAGAAAGTTTACTATGGGTACTTTTTATGTTTTTACTTTTGTACATACACATACATATATGTACATATATATATGTACGTTCATAAGTCCCCAGCTAGACGAATCCATGTTTTTTATATGAAAGCATCGGCGTTTAAATGTTTTTGGTTTTCTGTCAACAGGCAGCAAAGTACCTATACGTATACTCTAGTCATACAAACGTAAGCAAAGTGCCTTAGTGACGTCATTAGCTCCGCATAATATTTACAGATCAAGGAAATCAAACAAACAATAAGTCACTGGAACATAGTGAGTCATAAGTGTTATATTTCTTTTTACATACGTACTTATTTATATACATATATTTTCTTTTAAACTAATAATATATGTACATATCAACCCGTTTCAGAAGAACCCTATAATATAAATAAAGTTCAGTTATTATTATACTTTACAATGAATCACTTGGACTTGCACTGATAACAAGTGTCTGTCAAACACACTTTTTAAAAAATGGATAACTAGATTCTCCTTTTAATGGGACCATTTTGTTCAGCAGAAAAAAATTCATATAAAATAATATATTTATGAAAATGGTACATCTTTACCTTTTCACTGTTTATTATGAAATGTATTTAATAACTAACCTTTAACCTCTTTATCTTCTTTAAATTTCGACTCTTATATTAAAAAGAAAACATGATTTCAATTAGCTTTCCTCCTACGCCATTGGCAGCAATTACACTCTTTCATATTACATCAATTACAACTTTTTTTCATGGCATCATTTGAAGCTCGAAATTCCAGTAAGGTAATATACCTTGGATTTAAAAAAAATATTATGAAATGTGGATTGATAAAATATATAAAAATATCGTATTAATCTAATTTTGATTGATTTCTTCAAATAAGAAAGTCCTCTGTATTTGAACTAATTATTCTATTTTAAATTCAATTTGTATAATATGTTCTGTTTTTTACGCAAGTCAAGAGACAAACCAAGTGATTTCAACCAACAAACAGCAGCATCGTAAATTTCACAGCACATCAACATATCCGCATATTCTTGATCTGATGCGTACATATGTATGTATATTGGTGTTATCTTAGACAATGTTTGAACTAATTCGCTAAAAAGGTTAATGCATATATTACATGTTATCTTGACAAAGCAGTGTGAATGAAGTTTCCTAAGATAAAATTTCCACATAAAAGACAAAGACGCCCAGAGAAAGTCATTAGTAACGATAAACTTTCGAGCACGACGATGACTACGACGAAAATCACCAGGTTGACATTGCTACTACTGGTAAATAGATCAAGTTCCAAGCATTTACTGAGAACTAACAAGATACACATGCAAAGTTTTTTGGAACTTGTGAGACATACACAGCACTGTACTTCACTAATCGTGTTAATAGTTAAAATATAAAAAAGTTATGAAAACATGTATTTGCGCTAAATGGGGTACTCCTCAGTAAGGTGTAAAAAAAAGATATTTCTTTGTTCTTAGTGTGCGATTTAAGATTGACTTCAATCTAAAGTGGTAATACTATTTTAATTTCAGTTCGCCTTATCAGTGGCAGCCCAAGAAGCAAAAGGATATGGTGTTACTCAAGGTATCAACTGTTATGGTAAAGAATATGTCTGCGTTGGCCCATTAAACTATAAGCATTGTGAATGGGATGCTCAAGGAAATACCTATGCTTCGGGTAGCGTGATACAGTGTCCCCCTAACCACCGTTGCGTGAACGATGGAGTAGAAATTTGTATTCCGCTTAAATTATCCACAACAGCACCTCAAGCAGCGCGCCCAATCACCTCAGAGCAAATAATCGTCAACTCAATATCGACTGAAGCTCCCGTAAAAATTAAAGAATTAAAATGGGAATCTACATCTACTATAACGGATACCACAACAGATAAAGCAGTAAATAAAGAGACATCAAGTATTCCTGTTGACACAACAACTATCGCAGATGATTCAATTTGGACCACGTTTTTAACAGAGAATCCGAACTTTTATAATACACTCGAGCCGAAATCAACTGATCCCAATTTTCAGTTTGCTACTAGTCTACCCCTTGAGACAACAACGGGTGCTATTTTAGAAACTACGTCACTTCAATACGAAACAACTACTACTTCGGATACTTATGTGACATTAACTCCAATTTCATCGGATGATTCCAGTATACCAGTTAACTCCAATAATGTCTTGGTGGCCGGATCAAAAATAGATGATACGCATGTAGCTCTTGTTAAAATAACTCTGGAAAATCAAGCTTATGACACAACCACCACTATAAACTTTTCCGCTGATCCCAATTCCCCAGAGAATTCTTATTTGTTAGCTAACACAAATATTTCTGAGAGTGATGATTCTACAATGACTAAAAATGAATTTTCAGATTCGTTAACAGAGATATATCATGAAACTACAGTAACTGCAGAATTGGAGAACTATGTGGAATTTGAAACAAAAGCGCCAATAGATGCGAGTTTTTCAATATCTCCAGATAGCTCACCTACCAACACAGCTGATCCTACTACAACAACTATTCCTGTTGAAGAATCCAATACTATCGTTCCAAGTGCTTCATCTGAACCCAGCACATCAACAAGTTCAAGTTTACTGGAGAACTCTAACATCCCGATCGAATTAGATGGGTCAACAGATCTTCATACAGCAAATTTTGCGGTGGATAAAACCAATTCTATCGTTCCAAGTGCTCCATCTGATAACAAACTAGCAAGTTCCAGTTTACCAGAGAACTCCAACATCCCAACCGAATTAAGTGGGTCGACAGATCTTAACACACCAAATATTCCAGTTGATAAAACCAACTCAATCGTTCCTAGTGCTCCATCTGAGAACACACCAGTATTTTCACGTTTACCAGAAAAATCTAACATCCCAGTCGAAACAAGTACGGCAACTAATCCTACTACAACAACCATTCCAGTGGAAGAACCCAATACCATCGTTCCAAATGTTTCATCTGAACACAGTACATCAACAAGTTCAAGTTTACCAGAGAACTCCAACATCCCAACCGAATTAAGTGGGTCGACAGATCTTAACACACCAAATATTCCAGTTGATAAAACCAACTCAATCGT